GTATTGCAAGGACTGTTCTGTTCAGTCTCTCTGCCACGCGTATTTTAATGCACTAGATCACTTGTATTTTGTTAGATCATGTCTTACACTAGAGGAAGAGTACCCGTCAGATCCTTATTGAGTGCCTGCTCTGCTTTGGATCTAATTCACTATGATCTCTTTTTTTCTATTGTATAATAGGTCCCAGTGCCCTTATCCGTTTCCAGATGTAGCAAGACAGCCAGCCAAATTCAGCCCTCAGCTAACCCAGCGCAGTGCCAAGGGGAAGACAGCCATTCTGGCTCTCGGTCATTGATTCATTGATGCAGAGCTTTAATCCAACCAGGAGCCCAGTGTGCAATGGAAGCTGCTAAGAAGAAGTTCCAGGAAACAACTTTGCCACTTGACAGCCAGCCGAGGGAGAATAGCTCTGTGTCCTTAGGGAAGCCCAGGATCTGCGGTGTTTGAAGACTGAGAGGCTTTACTTGTCACAAACAGAGATGGACACGTACTGCAGAACACGATCTACAGAGATTTGTTTGAAACTGTAAACACATCTGCTTTGGCCTTGCTCAGACTTCTCTCACGATCCCATTCCATGAATGTTCATGCAAGTGAGTTCTCAGTAACCCAGCTCTTTGCAAAAGTCAGATTTATATCTTGTTTTCTCAAGTTCAGGCAGCAAGTAAATTTTATATGAGCATGCCTTCTGATGCTCAGGGAGACTGTTCTATTCAGGGGGCAGAAACAATGCCACTTAATGATAAGATGATAATTAAAAAACAAGAAGTGCAGCTCAAATTGCAAGGCAATAAGCAAGAAGAATCCTGTAGAATCATTTTGTAAAAAACAATGCCTCTGAGAAACATCACAACCTGCTCCTAGCTATTCACTGGAAAAGAGAAGAAACTTCACTGTACGAACTATTTGTTATGAAAGTATTCAGTTCAGTTCCAAGAGCAAGAAACCAGATGAAACTATGTGTTCATCAGTTAGCTCTCTAAACTCTGCTGGAAGTGGACGTGTCAGGTGATTCCATCAGAGTTGTTATGATGACATTTTGTTTTCTTTCCATTAAAAACATCTAACCACAGCAACTGTGAAGGAAAAAAAAACCCACAACACTCTACTGAACACTTCCTTACCTCACATCTCCTTAGTGATTTTCCATCTCTGCAAGTGATGCTTTAATTAACTAAAAACCTTCTGACTCTAAGCAGGCTGGAGGTGCTGTCCCACAGCCCCATCACAGCATGGCTAGCAGATTAGTAATCTAAAGCAAAGCAACACAACCGGGGAGTCTAAAAATACCAGGGACATCTGAGCTGCTCCATTTGATTGTACTGAATTTAGCCGAGTACAGGGATGGTCCCTGCATGCAGGCTGCTCGGTGCCCGTTTGTAGTCACAACCTCTTCTGCGGTGTAAAACCTTTTGAAGGGGAGATCGGGGGCTAGACTGGATTTTTGAATTACTTCAGCAGTACCACCTCAGAGGCAGCCCATGTGCTAGTCCTGAGACTCCTTCAGTAGTACAAGGGATGAACTCGTCGTGTTTTGTCAAGCATATCTCTTGACATCCTATGACGTGGCAGACATAACTGCAGTACGGCATCAGCAACCAGGTGGTAGGAACCACTGCACTTGACCCAGACGCATGGCACTAAGATCATCATCGCTGTCCAGGGGATGGCAGCAGAAAAAGGGGTAAGAAATGGTACAGATTTTTGCCATGAGGTATTTCCCAAACCTTCAGGCGAAACTCATTAGTTGCGTAATATTGGGTCTCTTAGCAGAGGCTGTAATTATAACGGTGCTGCAGCTCAGCACATAAGGCCCCTGACACCACCTCATGATATCTAAACTCACTTTAAAAAATTTCCACTGAAGGGCCCTTTAGAATGAGGACAGCTCCAAGGGTTAAAGTAAAGTTTGCAGGAGCCCTTACCCAGCTCTGCCTTCCTGCTTCTCAGCAGCCTCATATTCCCTGAATTAGGCTACTTTTAAATTTTTCTTCTCTGGGAAGATACTTCAGAATCTATTTGCGACAGTCAAAATTCTAAAATATGGGCAAAATCTGTGCTCCCTAAGGCTATTTCCTGAGACAGCTATTTCTTGAGTATCATTAAAGTGAGAAAAACAAACTCCGATGGCCAAATTCATGCCTGGTGTCATTCAGCTGACCTTAGCATCAGCGCACCAGCAATGGACTTGGCCGTGCACGTACATTATGCTGTCTGCTTACAAAATGACAGAATCCAGCATCTGGGCAGGACTGCGTGCATACTGACTGGGACTGGTTATTGAACTGTATCTAAACCCACCATCTCCGTGGATTTTTTGCACCATTCTCTGTATAACACTTGCAAACGAGGCTCCCTTTTCAACAGCCCCTTCGGCACTCATATTCCAGGAGCATAGCAGTGGGGGTGTCTAGTAATGCCCCCTCCCATCCTTCACTCAGTAAAAATGGCACAGTAAATTGTTTTTTTCTCAAATGTTTCCCAGACAAAATGTAATTTTCATCGGCATTACACAAGATTTCACTGTTTTGTTGACAGGGATTTATTGTGGTAGACTAGCTGCCTGTTAAACGCTTCCTAAATGGTGAGTGACTAATAACAACGAGATTACAGGAATTGCTTGGTGTGGGACACACCACACCTACAACTTAGCTTACCTTTCCCTGCAAACTGAAGATCTTCAAACTGGTCTTGCAGACTGCAAAATAATTTTAGAAAGCCACTCTTCTATCAGGAGAAAGCCTCTGCGTAACCTGACCAATTTGATGTCTGGGGGTAGCACCACTGAAAGCAAGGCTGATGGTGGCCTCCATATGAAGGGCAGAATCAATGCCAATGTAAGGAACTCAGAGCAAGATCAAAAGAATTACAGGTTCCTGTAGTACAGGGGATTTCTGTAATAAATGTGACTTAAAATGACAAAAAAAACCCCTGTAGTCTGAAGATGCTGTGAGCTGTACTTAGAAGTTCAGTCAAGGCTGTGACATTGTCTTGGTGGCCTTGTACAAGACACTGCTCTGTGTCAGTTTTCTTCATCCAGCAAACGGAGTCTGAAGATGCTGAGTGCCCCTCGTGATCCAGTGGAGGACAGTCAAAAGCCTCTGTCCAAGAAGAATATTCACTGAAGCCACTCTTCTAACGGGCGCAGGGCTGATCTCTTTGGCTGCGTCTACAGAGTACCCCAGGGCCAGAAGCAACGTACTAACGTCTGGTGGGGCTCTGCCTGGCTCAGTACGCAGCCGAGTACCTCGGCAGCAAACGGCGCTGCCATGAGCCGTACGGACGTATTTACAGCCAGCATTGTAAAGGAGAGGCCTTCAAGACTGCATTTTGCTCAGCCGAGAGGCTGCAGCCCTGCAAGGGAACCTGCTGCATTGCAGGGACGCGTCCTTCTTGTTCCACTTCACAACAACTCTGTCGGGAGCAGGAGTTACTGATGACTCCACCTCATATTTTAAAAGTACTTTCCGGGTACCTGGAAAATCCAGCTGTTTCTTTCACCGTTCTGCCTCCAGTTTACCACAGCAGCCATGTTATTTCTTGTTACGGAGTGAATGCTCTGATGGAGCTAATGCAGTGGAGTTTGATTTTTTTAAGCTAATGCAGTGGAGTTTGATTTTTTTAAAGCATTCTAGCCGGTTACAGCTCTGATTAATTGTATGAAACACAGCTCAACCTTGTCTTAGCAAAGAGTCTGATCAAATTGACTTTTTAAAATATCATCTTTGAAAACAACAAAGCAGAGCAACACAGAACAAAAGAAGCTGGAGGACAGGTGAAATAGCCTCTTTTAAAATGCTGTTCATCATTGATCTGGGTAGTTATAAGATCCCTTTTTATGATTTCACCTTGCTCCTCAAACACACTCAAAATTTATTTGCTAGCCTCAGCTCTGTGGCGTAGTTCTCTGTTAGTTGCTTTCTTTTGATACCTCCCTTTGCTTCATCTCCTCAGGTTCAGTAAATGCCGATTTCTGGTAGAAGATGTGGGGACAGACCTGAAGGGTCCAAAAAGGAGCTGCAAACCTGCTGCTGCATCAGGTGAGAGGGAGCAAGTTCTGCGTTGGACAGCATCTCCCCCCTTGGCAGCACACCTATGGTAAAGGTGGGTTAGAATTGCCCTTGCTTTCAAATTCCTCACAGATTAAGCTGAATCAATATGTTTCTCCAAGGTGAGCATTTGCCAGCCTCAGCAGCTCAGTTCCGCTCTGTACTTTGCCCAGGGCTCCATCTATTACTTGAGAAAAGCTCCCTGGAAGAAGTTGGCACCCTTTATTCCTTGGGATTCCTGCTCAAAACTGATCTCTGTGGGATAATAATTAGTTTGGGAGTAAGCTGTGAGGGTGATAGTGTCTGGCTGAGAAATTTATCTATTACTCCATGTCTTCTGCTCCTCATCTCAACATGCTTATTTCTTCCCTCATTTTTTATTTCTTGCCTTCTGTGTGTAACCTTTCCTTTGGGAGGAGGAGGGAGAAGTGTTGCTATTATACATGTACGTTCTGCAGCGCCACAGAGTCGATCCCCACCCAGTTGTCGTGGTTTAACCCCAGCCGGTGACTAAGCCCCACCCAGCCGCTCGCTCACTCCCCCCCGATGGGATGGGGGAGAGAATCGGAAGGGTAAAAGCGAGAAAAGTCGTGGGCTGAGATAAAGACAGTGTAATAGGTAGAGCAAAAGCCGAACATGCAAGCAAAGCAGGGAATTCATTCACTGCTTCCCATGGGCAGGCAGGTGCGCAGCCATCCCCAGGACAGCAGGGCTCCATCACGCGTAACGGGGACTCGGGAAGACAAACGCCATCGCTCGGAACGTCCCCCCCTTCCTCCTTCTTCCCCCAGCTCTACGTGCTGAGCATGACGCCATACGGTGTGGGATATCCCTGGGGTCAGCTGTCCCGGCCGTGTCCCCTCCCAGCTCCTGGTGCCCCCCAGCCTCCTCGCTGGCGGGGTGAGCAGCAGAAAAGGCCTTGACTCGGTGTGAGCGCTGCTCAGCACCAACTGAAACGCCCCTGCGTTATCAACACTGCTTCCAGCACGAATCCAAACCATAGCCCCATACCGGCTACTATGAAGAAAATCAACTCCAGCCCAGCCAAAACCAGTACGCCAGTTTATTATTAACATTATAAACTATCATCATCCTTCCACAAACCCCAGGGGAAGCCACCGGGGGAAAAAATGACTTTGGATGGATGCGGAGCAGAAACGTGAAGCCCTAATTAAGGAGCGCTGCCCCCACTAATTGCGGTGGAGGAGCCTGGGTGCAGGTGCTACCTGGCAATTACACCACCTGCGTGTCTCATCTTGAAGTGAAGCAGTGTGTTTTTATACAAGTGGTAGAAATTAAGGGTTGCTTATTTCTGCGTGGCCATGGCTAGGGGTCTGTCCGACCCCGTACAGCTTGGGTTTGCCACCAGCTGAAGGAATGTAACAGTATCTCTGCTGTCCCCTTTTTCCTTCCCATGTTATCTCTAATAAACGGTATTTTAATCAACACCTTGCGGAGTCTGAGTGCCTTTCTTGCTGGGATCCATAACAAATGCTTGCACTGGCGCATTACACTAATATCGCCCATTATGTAATAAATAAAAAATGTCAGTTCTCAGGCTTGATACAAGGTCACCCTCCTGAAGGAAATTTCTCAGTAAATGAAGGGTTTAGATGGCAACGGACACCTGGGGAAACCCTGCTGCCCTTGGGTTTGCGGGACATCATGAATATTCATTGCAGAGGCAGCTGCAGGTGAATAGCAACTACAGCAGTTCCTCAGGATCAAGCTTGGCTCTCCCCAAGAGACAGCATTATGCTTTGAAATTAAAATATACGGGAAAACAGATAAAACAGGTAGTATGAGTTCCGTGACATGCCTGTACTAAGTATTAACGTGGTCAAATGTGTCTGCACCCCCCTTTCACGAGTGGGGAATGCTATCAGCCTGTTAAACACTGAGGGCAATTCACACGCTGAGGAAAAAAGGGTTTTTTTCCCTGAAATACCCCCGAGAGCTTCGTGTGCGCCCACGCCGGGAGGGGAGGGGAGGGGAGGGGAGGCGGGCACGGGTCCGGGTCCGGGTCCGGGTCCGGGAGGCGGCGGGGCCGCAGCAGGACACAGGGGCCTCTCTGGCGCCCTCAGGCCGGGCCCTGCCCAGGGCCGCGGAGGGCGGGGAG